AGAGTGTCCCACAAGAGCATCCCGCAAGAGTGGCTGACAAGAGCACCCTACAAGAGTGTCACACAAGAGTGTCCTACGAGCGTGTCCCACAAGACTCTTCCACAACACTTTTCACAAGAGTGTTCCCACAAGAGCGTCCTACGAGAGAGTGTCCCACGAGTGACATACAAGAGTTTCCGCAAGAGTGTCCCACAAGAGTGTCCGACAAGAGTGTCGTACAAGAGTGCCCCACAAGAGTGTCCCTAAAGAGTTGTCCGACAAGAGTGTCCGACGAGAGTGTCCCACAAGAGCGACATACAAGAGTGTCCCACAAGAGTGTCCTTCAAGAGTATTTCGCAAAGTGTCCTACAAGAGTGTCCCGCAAGAGAGTGCCCCGCAAGAGTGAGTGTGATACAAGAGTGTCCACAAGAGTGTCCTACAAGAGTCTCCCACAGGAGTGTCCCACCAGAGTGTCCGACAAGGTTGAACTACAAGAGTGTCTGACAAGAGTGTCCGACAAGAGCGTTCCACAAGAGTGTCCCACAATAGTGTTCCACAACAGGAGTGTCCCACAGGAGCGCCCCACAAGAGTGCCCGACAAGGGTGCCCCACAAGAGTCCCACCAGAGTCTCCTACAAGAGTGTCTCGAAAGGGTGTCCGTCAGCGTTATCCAAGTCATCATCGTCTTCTTCCTGGAGGCCACCGCCAGTAGGTTGAAAAAAACCATTGCTACTATAGGGTGGAGGCCGTCGCCAGCAGGTCCGCCTGCAAGCTCGGGTGGAGGCCATCGCCAGTAGGTTGGAGGCCATCGCTTCCACCTCCTCCTCTGCCTGCAAGACCGGCTCTGGGCCTCCAGCTCCAGAAGATGCACATCCTCTCTTGGCTCTCCTGGCTGTCCAGAAGGAAGGCTTGCCACACGTTCTCTTCTTGTTGAAGAGAACCTTCTCGGCCGGTCGCTGGGCCAGCTGAAGGCCGCTCCAGGTCGGCTTCGGCACGCCAGCGCTCGGGCGCTCAGGTTCTGGTGTCCTCTTTGCTTGTTGTTGCAAGTCAGTTGCGTTAGTTGTGGTCGGTTGGTGTCTGCCAGTTGCTCACGTTGTTGTTCGTTGTGTTCGGTTGTAAATTTGCATTGTGGTTGGCTGTCAGTTGAGTTTGCTTGGTTCCTGAGGTCGCTTCTTTGTTGTTGATGATTTGATCCGAAAAAAAGCCCCTGGACATGTCCGCCATGTAGACCTACACTCTGAAGATTTTGACCCAACCTTCGGGAGACAAATTCCTTTCCAGTGAACGCTTTTGTTGGGGCCACTTCAAAACCATCCACAGTTAAAAATGTTGAAAGTTGTGTGGGCTGAGCCTTCCTTTAAGGATGAAGGGCCGCTGGTCCGAGGAGCCGTGCCCATAGACTGGTATCGGTATTTGCCTATACAGTACAATAAAAATCAATGTGCTTCAATGCGTTTCTGTTGGTCACAGCCCAAGACCGTCTAGTCATAGCAATGACGCCTGAGGGCCCGGACATCGAATGCTTCCGACAATCGACAATCTTGTGGCGAAGGAGAGTTGGGACTTGCAACCTCAGCCGGTATCAGCTCAAATGCACCGAAGCTAGGTTAGCCGACTAAACACTCAAAGCAGGAGGACTTGAGTGAAACTCCATTTTTTGTGGAAGTCACAGATGGTGGATGTGATGTGGGGAGCGTGGCTCAGCCGGTACCAGCTGGGACGCACCGAAGCGAGCTCAGCTGACTAAGCCATCAAAAAAGGAGGGCTTGAGGCTTGAGTGAAGGGTAGCTGGCAATAGCACGCCATGTGGAGAGTGGAGTCACAAGTGGTGTATAGCAGGAAAGGCCAGCCCTGCCCTGGAGCGAGGCCGGTCTTTGTTTTTAACGAACCCTCCCAGCCCTATATGAAGATCATTAACACTCCGCCATGTCCAGCCAAATCCCGCGACGCCCATGTCTGACTAGGCCCTCCAACAGCCGTAGCCAGCTCGAGAGGTGGCGCATGGCGGTGGCGGGAGTGAGCTGCGGGCGTGTAAAGAGGAAATGACTTTTCAGAAAATTCTATAGCCGAACATCCACTTCTGTTTCTGAAATGCTTGCTCGCGAACGAAGTCAAGCGGACGGGCAAGCGGACGGGCAAATGCATCAAAAAAGCAAGTTAAAAGGTGATGCTTACTTTTCTTTGAAGCGGAAATCTAGTGAGCCCTGAGTGTCCTACAAGACGTTCCCACAAGAGTGTCCTACAAGAGTGTTCCGCAAGAGCGTCCCACAAGAGTGTCCCACAAGAGTGTCCCACAAGAGTGTCCTACAAGACTTTCCCACAAGAGTGTCCTACAAGAGTGTCAAAAATTGTTTGGGTGTTTGCTTTTGAGTACATGTCTGCATTCGGGTTCGTGGGTTCCATCTTGTTTATTGGCCAAGTTGCAGGTGTTGCAAATAATCAGCAAGATCCGATTGGGGACAGTTCCAAGCAATCCTTCTGCAGCTTTCTGAAGAAAGTCAGCCGTGAGAATCGTGTAGGCAACGCCTTGACTTCGGATGCAATGCTCAACGACTCCTTTTCCTACAACCAGGCCCAACCTCTCCCTTTGTTAGCTATCTTTCTAAACAAAATGTCTTCTGTTGAATGCGGCTGGGCAGCATGCAAAAAAGCAGTTGGTGCCAATGAAGCCATCTATCAGCAGTCCAAATCTTTGTCCGAATGCTTTGCAAAAGACTTCTCTGTAGCTCCTAGGAGGGCGATCACAACAATTGTCTCGGCTCACAAACTAAACGACCCAACATCCGAGGCAATGACTCACATCTCAACTGCTTGCAGAGAAAAGCAATGAGAATGAAGCTGCTGGAGCAAAATGTGCACACCTCGATTGTCTTGCAAAAGGATGAAATGGGGGTCAGAAGTGCAGATCAAAATTTGGAGCAAAACGAGTGTTATCACATGTTATCACCACTTAAAGCACTAAGAATGCGTTCCCCCAAGCATCGTCTTTTTCAACCAGGCACCGTAACCATGGCCATGAGGCCGGGCAGCACGGAGCCACTCTTCAAGCCACTGGGAAGGCTGAACATGCCCGCACCAATGAGGTTCTTCGTGAGGTTCATCCTGAGATTGGGCTTGCGGGCCTGATGCTTGAAAGGGCACAGCCTTTAGAGGAAATGGTGGAATCGTGGTGCAGGGGTGTCACGCTTTAAAGTCAGATTTCAGGGCGCAGGAGGGGCGATGTTGGCCAACAACACACAAAGGGTGTTCAGAAGCCGCTGGAAACCTTCATTCAAGAGCCGCCAAGAAGGACCCAAAGTCCAAAAGCCAGGAGAAGCCGCCAAAAACACAAGAAGACGTAAGAATCGAGAAGCCATCGGAAGCACTAAACACTACCAAGAGAAGAAGTCATCCTAAAATATACCCCTGATTCCCCTTTCAAACCTGGATGAAGCGTAGGCCCAAGCTCAGAGAAACAAGAAACATCAAAAAATGTGAAGGGGCGCCAAGCCTAGGCTTCTAGGGCCCCTAGGGCGTCACGCTCGACATTTTGCATGCATCGAGGTCTTGCAGCACAACACGGGAAGGTCTTGAAATCAATCATCATTCACCAGCACATGACCAGTCTGAGAATACTTCAAAGGCAACTCTGCCTGTTCTCTTCGAATGCGGCAATAGGACTTGCTGATACAACTTGCACTTAAGGCCAGGGGTTGTTGTATCTCTTGAAAGCAATCGGCGTTTAGCGTTGAGCTATATAGGTGTTCTTTTACGATAATGCCGCCTGGATAGCAAAGAAGACACAACCGTCAGGTGTTGTCAATGCAGTCAGCATGGTGATCATGTGGAATGCAATAACCCACTTGCAAAAAATTGAACAACGACAACAACAACAACAACAGCAGCAGCAGCAGCATCGCGCGTCTTTCGCAACGCCAAGACTCCATGCAGCCAGCACAGGAGGTGGCGCCTGCAAGTAAACCCGAACTCGATGTTTTTGGAATTCAGAAAAGAGACCCGTGAGGCCTTTGCTCGGTCCCTATATACTAGTATTACTAGTAAATACTAGTAAATACTAGTAAAGGTATAAATGACCCAGAATGGGGATTTGGACATATTTGAACTATGTTTGGATGTGTACACCCAACTTGTAAATCCAAAACTCTCACACGATGCCTTCTCATCTCTCTCTCCTTCAGCCTGGCGCAATTTTAGTGTGCCTTCCCAATGGAGTAAATGTTCTCCACCACTGTACATAGATCTGAGGTTGCGTTTGCCAGAAAAATATAACTCAAGAGAAATATCAGCAAGCTTTTTCACAGCCATCCTTGGATGCACCAGAGTTTCCTGGTCACAGAGTCAGCTATGGTGGACTTCCACCACACAAGACGGTGTAACGAACCAGGCCAGGTCTGCGGGAGTTGCTTTAGACTGCACCTCAAGCGGTGCGAAAAGACTCCATGGTCACTCACTCAAAAGGATACCACTGGTACTCAGTCAGTACTTAGACATCAATAGCCCAATGGTCCAACTTAAAGATAAACTTCAACATTGTTCAACCACCTTGTTGCAATGCAAATTGCAAGAAAACTGAAATTTTGGCCCTCAAATCGATTCCATCCATAAAAGCTGAGCCAAAGAGCAGTCTTCGACATGCCGCCTGCCCAGTCTGAGTCTGAGTCCCCCAAGCAAACTCTTCAGAAAACAGATCAGCAGGGGCGTGTTCTTGGGCGTCCCCAAAGAGTCGGTTACAGTGTATAGACTATATAGAATATAGACTGTTAGACCTGATTGAACCTTGAGATGATCAGGGCGGGTCCAACTTCACACACCCTCCACGCCCAGGGCCTTGGCTCTCTATTCGCGCCAAGTGGAGCAAGCTTGATCCACCGGCGTCCGGCGAAAGTGGTCGGACATCGCTCCGAGGGGTTCGGAAGCATGCACTGTGAAGGGTTCCAAGCGATCGAACACGAGCAAATCCAACTGCCACATCCTCCTGTCCGTCGGTCCGGACGAAACTGAACAGTCCAAGCGGGGCGCACCGTTCCAACGAAGTTCGACAAACCCACTGCTGGATGCTTGGACCTCGATGCCGTTCATTTAGAGTGCCAATACCAGTATTGGTTGCGCTGTGCAGGAGCCAACTTACTAGAGAATGTGCTATTTTCAAGGCCTTCTTCATTTCAGACATGCGTTTGCAGGGTCAGTGGGCAGTCTAGTTTTGGCCCGACCGTTGCTGGGAATAGGAAGCAGAAGAGTAGGTGAAAAAATGTGAAAGGTCCGTTTGTCCCCTCGCTGTGCGACCACCTGCGTCCGCCCTTCATCCACCAGTTGGGTCACCCAACTCTTTTCTGCCAAAATTCAACAGCCTGTGTGTGTGCATCACCTGCTCCTGATGCCGCCTGACTTGCTCAGGTTGTCTCAGGCTTTCGCCTTTGATCTGTCACCTGTCACTCGACCCCCTCTGGGCTTCACAGCGGGTTGGTGCTCTTCACACCGGAGCTCGCAGACCACTCGCAGAAGCTCAACCTGAAAGCATCCACCGGGGCGCTCTGCGCATGTCCATGGGACGCGATCCACATAACGCTCTGTCTCTTTCTCTCTTTCTCTTTCTCTCTCTCTCTCTCTCTGTGTAGATCAACAGTAGGGGCGTTTGAGGATAATTATATAATATAACGATCCTTTTGTCCAGCCTGTCATAAGTTTGGTGCGCAGTTCAAAAAAGCTGAAGTACAGTGACGTTGTCTAATTGGTAGGGTAGGACAGCGGCGCAAATATAGTAGTGGTGTAGGTAGTTAGAGGGCCCGTGGGATAAAGCAAAGCGTGGCAAGATATGTAAACACATGTTGATTTAAGTATATATATAGATAGATAGATAGATAGATAGATGTGCAAAGTGTCGTATCACTAGCATCAAACGAATGATTTGCACATCAAAAGCTACTTCCTCCTCCTCCTCTTCCTCCTCCTCCTCCTGCTGCTGCTGCCCTTGTTGTGCCATTTCTTGAAGAAGAGGACCACGCATGTTCCTGCTCTGCTTCCTTACAGCTCCGATTCATGAAGATGAAGACGGACCTTTTGTCCTCCCAGTCGTTTTGCAGCTCTTGACCTACTTATGGACCTTTCGCTTTTCTAGGAAAGACCCTGACAACAGAGGGAGGACGAGTAGTATACGTGCACTTGCGTGGGATGTTGCTGCTAGTGGGTGTTGCGACGCCAGAAGATGCGTGGATCACCTCAGGAGAATGTTAAAGCGCTCAGGAGTAGTTGTGGCAAGTGCCGAAAATAGGCTGCGCACGCGTGCACCGCAGGGTGACTGGGGGCGTCATGATTGATCTGCCAACAAGACCAGGCGCCTGGTGGCGTCCTTCCCATATAAAGTTATGTATATATATATACACATGCAACTGTATGTATGAATATATTCAAGAATGAACATGCGTAAATCGATTCGATAACTTGGACTGGGCCTCTTGCCATTTGGCCTTAAAGCTGGTTGAAGACCGCTGGCCTTCCTGAGGATGCAAAGTCCCTCCCGTCCAACAAAAGCTACAGTGGTCAACATGAAGGAAAACGACCTGCTAGGTTCGCTTAGGACTTAGAAGGTGTGAAAAGCGGCCCTGGTTTCGTTCACTCTGGACAGAAAACGATCTTAAGGGCTCAAGGTCTCTTGATTGCTAGCTTTGAGCTCTTCAGATGGTGCTTCCCTCGCCTTGATGAGATCTACAAGGTCTCTCACTGGGAGAAGACCGGCACTCAGCGCCTCGAGTGGTGCAGCAAGGCCCACCCGCCCCAACAGCAGCAAGATCCTGGGGCACTAACCAAGTGCTGCAGATCCACCTTTCGTCCCTGAGGCAAGGAGTCTGTGATCATGGCCCATTGCACTTGCATCCTATCCATCCTGATTCTGCTAGGGTTCCTAGCTTCAAGCACGCGGAGTAAACATATTGAATTCCCTCTTCAGCCCTTCAGCCAACTGGGCAATCGTCGGGTGGCGCAGATTGAGGGTCGAATCGAACATGTAAGCTTTGAACTGCTGATGCCCTGGGGCTTCTTGCTTAAAAACATAAGTTTCCCTAAAAATCTAGGAACCAAATGAATAGTGCGAGCGCTTCTTCAAGGAAGCTTCCTTAGGGCGGCGGGGGGAGCTATCCTGCGTCCAGCTACTACTAGCGGCCTCCAGCTACTACCTACTTCCTACCTCTACTCGCGGCCTACCCCCCGAAAACAAAACATGTCTGCCCTGGGGCTTCTTGATTAAAAACATCTATCAAGCCAAATGCACGCAGCCCCTCTGAGTTGATCACGTTCAACTGTCCCTCCTGACACAAACTCAGAAACAGTGCTTGAGTTTCTGCAGGATCAAGCTGTATGTTCCCTTTTGGAGACATGACAAGCTGATCGTCCTCAAGTTGTAGCCTTTGCAACTCACCTTTGGCAAAGGTCACCTGGCAGCCAATCGCTGTAACAAAAATGCACTGGCTTGTGCCTGGTGCTCTCTTTAGCGGCCTATGGTCGAAAATCCTGAAAGTTCACCTCGTTCACTCCGAAGCATGACCGGAGAAAGTGAACATCAAGAAATGCCGTTCAGCACGGTGCAGTCTACTAATCGTGTAATGTCAACGGAACTTTGGCGGGTGATTGTGTTTGGTCATCACATCATTTGCATGTTTGTTTTATGTGGATAACACCTGGACGTGTATTCAATCTACTGAACACACAAAACTAACCATTGAGCAAGTGTCTACTCAAGACAACCCATCTTGACCTGCAGCGGAGTGAAGAGCGACTGCGTCGGTGCCTGTCCACCAGCATCTTGGAGTATGTCCAAGCGACCAGACTCGAATCCACAGGTCGAAGACCAGAGGTGTCAACCTGGAGCGGCCACCTCCAGGTGGACCACCTCCAGGTAGTCCTTTCATGTCCTTTCTGCTGTGTTGGGGGCAACATGTAGATGGCTTCAAGGAACGCACCATGGTATGATGAGAGCAACTGAGGGCCCTGCAGGTTTATCATGAAGCTCTTGGATGGCCCGTTTCGCCTGCCAGCGGTGCCAAAACAGAAACACAACCTTAAAGCCTCCCACCCTTCGCCACAACTAGTCCAACCATTCCAACTATCCCCAATCCAATCTTCCCAGCCTGCTCCAAGTTTGCTAGCCTCACAAAGGCACAGCCAAAGGAACTGGAGGCCTGCGCAGGACTGACAAGTGTTCTTCCCAAAGATGTGGAGCTTCGCAGAATGTGATTGAGCGGCCCCTCGACAGCCCCAGTGAAAACAGTGAGAGAGTTGATCTGAATTTGGACTAAACTCAAACTACTCGATGAATCTCAGCGTGTGGTTTCCAATAGGTTTGCAAATAGCTATTAAAAAATCTGAAATCCAACAATCCTTGAACATCTCCCCCAAGCTGGACTTGGCCTGCTGATTAATGATAAAGACCTCCACCGGCTGCCCGAACTGCTGAAAGAGATCTCGGAGTTGAGATTCTGTGACCTTCGAGTTAAGTTCGTTCACCACTTGCTGTGCCGGAACGAAACGCTATCAGATACAGTAACGAAACCCTTTCTCTGCACTTTGGTGCCTCCGGTGGTCAAAACAAGTGACTACCTCCAAATAGCACTCCCAGGACAACGAACTGCAAAGTACCTAAGTTGAATTAGACCACACTCATGTTGATTCCTCTTCTTTTGTTGGCCCTTCATTCAAACAAATCACTTGTTCACTTAAGTTTGCCATCTCGTCGCCTCGCGTGGAAGGCGGCCAACAAAGAGCTTCACACTCTGATCTTTCTCAGGCCTTGCCGAGTCCGACACATGGCCACTTTTAGGGTCCCTAAAGCTAAATAAGATCAGATCAGATCAATCCAGACAAGGTTAGGTAAACTAGATCAGACAACACAAAGCTTAATAAGATTCGATAAGATAAGATGGGAAAAGACGTTGTAAAGTAAGACAAAATGGATTAGATTAGATTTGGTTCGGTTATACTGAGTTAGAAAAGATAAGTTGAAAGAAAAAAAGGAAAGGACGATAGACAAGTAAATAGAAAGATAGAACGAAAATCAAAAGATAGAAAGAAAGAAAGAAAGAAAGATTGATAGATAGATAGATAGATAGACAGAAGGAAGAAGGAAGGAAGGAAAGAAAGAAAGAAGGAAAGAAATAAACAAAAATGAAATGGTAAAAATAAATAGATAGATAGTTAGATAGATAACTAGATAGATAGACAGATAGATAGATAGGTAGATAGATAGATAGACGGATAGATAGATAGATAGATAGGTAGATAGATAGATAGATAGACAAGTAAATAGATAGATAGGTAGATAGGTAGATAAATAGATAAACAACAGATTAGGCTAGACACCAAAACAAGGCGTTGCAAGGGGCAACTTGGCTGTTGATAACCAGGGAATGTGTGGACACGTACTTGCGGAAGAAAGCCAGTGAGTTTCTTGTCAGTGTATACGTGGGCCACGGCAGCCACAGGGGTCAATAGTGGGCGCCTGGTTTCCATGTACTTTGCGACGTCGCGTGGAAGAGATCTTGGAGTAAAGGGCCACGCCCTAAACAAATGGAGGGCCATATTCAACACAATACCACCAAAAGAATTCTGGACTCGTGGGAGGGTTTTCGGTGTATCCTTGGCTTTTCTCGTGCGCAAACTTTTTAAAGGGTTGACAATGTATTTTTTTGGTTTAGAAGTTGCGCTAAAAATAATAGTAAGGCGCTGTTGAATTGTTCTTTCAAAATCATCCGGAACTGCGCTGGCCGTGAGGTCTAGAGGTCCAGACACATTGGGCCCAGGGAGATCTAGGGGTCTAGAGGTCGAGAAGAGAAAACCTAGAGATGTAGAGATGTAGTGGAAGGGAACCAGCACAGACTAGCATGACTGTGAAAAAACTTCTATCTATCTATCTATCTATTTATCTATCTGTCTATGAATCTACCTATCCATCCACCCATCCAACCATCCATCGGCCTATTTATTTATCTATCTGTCTATGTATCTCTTCATCTATCTATCTACCTATCTAAATCTTTCGAAATCAATCTAAATCTGCTTAGCTTTATCTAAATCTGTCTAAACCTATCAAAACCTTTCTAAATCTATCAAAAATGACTCTTGACCTGTCTATCTAACTATCTACCTATCTATCTAACTGTCTACCAGTTTATCTACCAATCTATCTGTCTGTCTATCTATCTACCTATCCATCTATCCATCCATCGGTAAATCTATCTATCTATCTAACTATCTATCTTCCTTTCTATCTATCTACCTATCTACCTATCATCTATCTATCTGTCTATCTATCTATCTATCTGTCTGTCTGTCTATCTATCTATCGATCCAGACCAGGCTCCTTGCCGAAGCAGTTCTACGGTTCACGCGCAGAAAGGTCACGTTGATTTCAAACAGCCAACAGGAAGGGGAAGCAGCCAAGATGTATGCATGCGTAGGATAGGGAACTCAATGTTCAAGGCCTATCGAGACCTACCGCTCTAGCGACGGCCTTCAAGATTGAGCTTCTCAAATACTTCAAAGAGCTAGCCTTCTCATAATACAGAATCCACGCAGTTTGAACCAAGCGACATATGTCTGACTTCTTTGAACTACTGAACGGCGCTTGCCTCCGTTCATTGTAGTCCGACTTACAGACTTACAACACCTACGCAATATGATGTCAAAAACAATGAGCATTCCCGGGCATCAACGCCACAATCAAACACGCAACCGAAACCAAATCAAAAATATGGTCGCTTGGGGATCTCTGAGGGCCCTCAGCCATTGAAGTAGCAGCAATGTCATCTGCATCAGTGTGTTCGGGATTGAAAAAGGCGGACGCACGGGCACTTGGCTGCACAGCTCTTATACGATAAAGATCTAATACATACGGCCACCTGCAAAATCGACTCCGTGCGGAAGAATAAACTTTCTTCTGCCCAATCAGGCCCAATTCGCGCCCTATCCATACAGGGGTAAACTGCAATAATACGTGTTGCGAGTTGCAATACAGGCGTTCTATTGAGATTCTATTTCAACTACTGTATTTCAACGCAAGCTTCGAACCCCTGTTATTAAAGAGGCAAGTCCTGAGGTAAGCATCGGCCTGATGAGGTAGGACTTGTGGGCGCAGGGTGAGACTTGGTGTCCCCACACCGCCGCCGCCAGCGTAGCTTAAGGCTGCGGCGGGCCGGAGCGGAGTCGCAGGGCCACGATTTCCACGGTCGTTTCCTGCTCCTCCACTTCCCGCCACACGCAGGCCCCGGCCATGCAAGAGCCCGCCCGGCGCCACACGCCGCTTCGGAGAGTCGCGGCCTCAGTTGCTCTCTCGGGCGGGGGGACGCGTGAGTCCGCAGAAAACTTCAACACCTCTCCAACCAGAAGTGGGATAAATGTACAGATAGACAAGTAGCTCTGTGGTAGCCATGGGCGCTCCAAGGTTCTACTAGTCTCCACCATAGATGGCGTTAATCTGTCGCAAAGCCCACCAGAAAAGTTCTGCGTAGGAGTCAACGGTCAAGGAGCTGCAGTTCCAGGACACGCGCAACGATAGTTGACCTTCTTCTCCATAAAATCAGTCCGCAGCGCACTCGAGGGAGCTAGCATCTCAGGCGACAGGAAGCGGGAATTGGGACCCGGAGAGTCAAGAAGGGCTCAAATTTGATAGTCCTCCGACAAGAACCAATAAGAAAGCAGCAAGGTAGGCCAGGTTCAACAATGCGGGCATCAGCCTTGGTAAGGATTTCGGGGACTTGGCTGCGCCGTATAGCCCTGCTTGACCCCAAAGGCTTAGATATAGCTATCACTCTCTCAAACGCAGCTCCGACGAGGGGCCGCGCGTACGTAGCACAGCTGGAGACCATCCCACTCTTTGGGTGTTTAACTGACTTTTGTCTGCAGTTGTTGGACAGACAGGCGCTTAGCCAAAAAGAAAGTTGTATTCGATGACATATTCGGCGACGCGAAGCGTCATTGACGACCCCTTGTTGCAAATGATGAAAGACGTTGTTGCGCGCGTTGTTGAATTATCGAGAAGTGTTCAGCATTCTGCAGATCAAAAGCAGTGGACGCATCTATGGCCCTAAAAGCATCGACATATGTCTCGTAAAGCCCGTTTGATTTGGTGTTTCCGACTCCGCGAAGGTGTTCAACTCGAGGATGGTTAGTTCCAGCCTGGAACAGAGCTTCACGCATGGGATCATTGCTGTTGCCACGCAGATTATACCATCGGATTGACAGGGGAGGCCAATGCACTCGTGCGCACTCTTGTGGGTGCATCATGCTTTCGAGAAAAGACGAGTTGCAAAGCCCACCTAACTCTCTCCTTGCAAATAGTCATGCTGCTGTATGAGCCTATCAATAACATTTTGGTTGGTCCGTTCTCTATCGATATGGGTAGGCGGAACGCCAAGTATCCATCTCAACATTTTCGTTTGGAAGGCATCTAACCTATTTTGCTCTTGAGCACTGAGTTGTGCAGTGTCAACCCATACAGAAGCTTGCTAACCATGACTGCGTCAAAAAACTCGAAGTTTCCATCTAAGCGGCGTTTGTGGTTTGGACCATAGAAGTCTTAGTTGTTTAGCTGTCGCAGTATCTTCGTCAATGCGCCTTAGAACTTCTTTGCGTCTTTGCGGATGTCAACCGCATCGTTCAAAGTGGCTTCTAAGTACATGGCCGAGCATTTCCTGCTGGGAACCAAAGAAGCATCGATATTGGTTAAAGACATGGAGCTCGGCAGCTGTCGGGTGTCTGTAAATCAGGATGTTGCTACGAGTGGACTTTTGTCGTGAGGCAAGTTTTGCTCGCATATGAACTACTAGAAGCTTATGATCGGAGGCAATGGCATGTTGTAGGCTGCTCTCAGCATCCACTATGGCATTCTTCCATCTATGGTTTATAAGAGCGCAGTCAAGTTGACCAGTTTTTCAGTGTAATAGAGGGTGGAGAGAAGTTTGGGGCGGCTATGCTTCGATAGGTGATTACCTTGTCTGCTGGTTTATCAAACCATGTATTTGTTAGGATCATGATATTCTCCACGCAGAATTGCAAAAGCTGCTGCCGGTTGTCTTGTTGCTTAGTCTGTTAGTTCATCTATGGTGCAGTTTGGCACCTCAAAGATATGAGAGCCGAGAACAAAAGGTTCATGCGGCAGTCTTTCCATAGGTCCTGCAGAGAAGTCACCGATGACAAGGTTGATCTCATGTTTTGGGCAAACGGCTGAAAGTGAGGTGTAAATGAGGGTAGACTGTCTTTGTCGAGCTGGCTTCGGCCCGCGCGGGGTGCATGGGCAGCAGTCACATTCTTATGGATTGGGGAAGTGTCGAAAGTGGCCATTACAAGCCTCCCGTTGATTTGTCGGAGATCTAACTGTTGTTTTGTCCAAGTCGTGTTAAATACTAAACCGGCACCGTGTGTTTCAGCATCCAAATTATAGTTCAATGGTGACGGGCAAAAGATATAGATATAGAGGTTCATATACACACATATATAATATATATATATATATATGCTACACCCCCAAAAAAAAGATTTCCACCGTTTAGACAAATTCACTGGTATTTGCAATGATTTGGCAAGATCTTTGACCATATTTTTGCGCAGATGTAACCTTCTTCAGAATGTTTCTTGCTATGCTTGCGTGCTTGTTTCTGGATGGACATTGAAAGAATGACGTTGGAATTTGCGAAAGTGAATGTTAGGGATGGACATTGAAAGAATGACGTTGGAATTTGCGAAATTTGTTGCCAGTGAATGTTAGGGATGGACATTGAAAGAATGACATTGGAATTTGCGAAATTTGTTGCCAGTGAATGTTAGATCTTTTTGTTGTGAGAACATTTCAATGAGTTCAGGCTGCTGAGACAAACTTTGCCAGCTCCCACTGGCAGAGCAAGCCAGTCAGCTTCCAAAGGTCTTGGCCCATATGCCAGTACTCATACTGGGCAGACCTAATATGGGCCTAAGGGTAGCAGACCCGACCTTTGAATTTGAGTTCAGGCTGCTGCTGCTGTCCTGTTACGTTCATCGACATGATCGCGATAGATGAGGAGCAGAGTAATAAGAGCAAGAAAATGGCTGTGGATGACAGCGGATGACAGCTTTCGAAATTGCAAGCGTTTGCACACGTTTGCAAACGAGAGAGGTTTGAAGATTAAAGATTCAAGATTCAAAAAAAGTTCTTGAATCCTGGATTCCAAACTCTGGATCCTGGGTCCAATAACTTGTTTTGAATCTTGAATATTGAATCCTCTCTCGGTTGCAAACGTTTGCAAACGCGATTGTTCTTGCAATTCTTACATCTTGGAGGTACATGTGCATAATGTAACCTGTGTATGTGTATATATATATATATGGCATCCCCTTCTTCCCAACCAAGTGCAATAAGGTATGTATATATATGGCACCCCCTTCTTCCCAACCAAGTGCAAAAATGAAGTGCAAAAATGAAATGTTCTAAAAGGTAGGTTTTTTGGGGGGGTGTACCATATAGATATAGATATAGATATATATATTCAATTACATATAGATATTCATATACATATAGAGATAGATAGATAGATAGATAGATAGATAGATAGATAGATTTAGGTAGATTTAGATAGATGTACAGTAGATAGATTTAGATAGAGTTAGATAGATTTAGATAGAGTTAGATAGAGTTAGATAGATTTAGATAGA